ATAGATAGATAGATAGATAGATAGATAGATAGATAGATAGATAGATAGATAGATAGAAGATAGATAATGAATGAATGAATGAATGAATGATTGATCGATCAACAGATAGACAGACAGACATGATAGATGGACAGACAGACATGATAGATGATAGGTAGACAGAAAGATAGACAGATTTTTTAACAGAGAAGTTGTCTACAATCTGGAAATGTTCTTCATATTTTTCTGTACATTGAAACAACCTAAAGGGACAATTGATCATGTGAAGCAGACATGCAAAACAGCTCAAAATTCATTCATACAATACAATAGCAGAGTTGGAAGGGACCTTGGAAGTCTTCTAATCCAAACCCCTGCCTAGGCAGGAAACCCTACACCACTTCAGACAGATGGCTATCCAACATCTTAAAGACTTACTGTGTTGGGGCATTCACAACTTCTGTAGGCAAGCTGTTCCACTGATTCATTGTTCTAACTGTCAGGAATTTTCTCCTCAGTTATAACTTGTTTCTCTCCTTGATTAGTTTCCTTCCATTGTTCTTGTTCTCCTTTCCTTAATCTTTTTTCCTTTCCTTTCCTGTCCTTTCCTCCTTCCCTTCCCTTTTCATTTCCCTTCCCTTCCTTCCCTTCTCATTGTTTATTAGACTGTGTGCGTATCTACTCTTTCCATAAAATCCTCGCCATAAAGACATACTTGAGTTGACTTTACTTTTGCTTTGCTAAATGTAGAACAACCTGAATTAGTTGAAGAATCCAAAGAGATTTTGTGTATTTAGTGCACACGATTGTGTATTTAGTGCACACTTAGTGCATGTTCATCATATGTTAGCTTGAAACAATTCTGAAAAGTGGTGAACATTTTCAAGGCTTTCATTTAATTGTTCTAATTAAAGGATGCCTTCAGATTTCTCAAGGCTGGAATGTTACTTCACGATCACCATTGTAGGAGCCTACAAGGAAAACAATTGAGATAAATGCACCAAGGAGCTCTTTTATCTCAACCAATATGTAAATCGAGGTGCAATTTCCCCTTTAAAGAAGTCAGTTGGTTTTACTTTTAAAGCTACACCCACCAGCACAAATCTTGAGCACTTTCCTAAACGATTCCCTATCCATTCTTCTCCATTCATTAGAGAAAGCCAAAATGACCCCATGGCTGCAATTGGTCTTCTTACTTGCATCCCTCAGAGGTAATTGTTTCCCTCTATAGGGAATTTCCTTCCATTTGCTTTTCTTGTATACAGGAGATCTCAATGAAACACTTTTCTTTTTAGGAGTTCAATCTCAAGTACAGTTGGTGGAAACCGGAGGAGATGTGAGAAGACCTGGAGAGTCCCTCCGTCTCTCCTGCCAAGCCTCCGGATTCACCTTCAGCAGCTATGATATGAGTTGGGTGAGACAGGCCCCAGGGAAAGGACTTGAATGGGTGGCATATATATGGTCTTCAGATCTTTTCTACTCTGACAAAGTGAAGGGACGCTTC